CATTGTATGAGAAAATGATGTCCATCACGTGCCGGATCATACTGATCATCGGGGGGAAGAAAACATGAGGGTCACGGGTGTTTCCACCGTATTTTGGGTGTCAGGCACATAATTAAAGAAGTGACTGAAAAATGAAAAAAGGGAACTTTAGGTCAAAATTCAAAACCTAGTCACTCATGCACAAGTCATTCCTTGATGGTTTGTTGTTTGCTAAATATTTATTTATTCACACTGGAAAAATAGGGTGAAGGTGACGTTGCAACAAACACCCTGCAGTGTGTAGAAGTGAGAACAATAATCAGATTTTGTGCAGCACACTAAAGCTACAGAATTCTGTATACTTGTACATTCTACTAGTCAGTTTTATTAATTTATTATTCTTGTGCTGTAATGTTTTAGTGGCTATCTCTCTGTACATGTCATTAAACATTGTTTAGTTTTGTAAGAAGTGTAGAGCTGATCAAGAGACATTGCACACTTGTAGGACTGCCCTAAAGCGTATCCTGCTTTATTGTTCTTGTGGATCCTAATAGTCACTATAATGTAACGTCAGGGTGTTCACAGTAAGACTTAAAACTAGCAGCTGAGATCATAAACTCATAAAGCGAGGTAACAGACACACACACACACACACAGAGTTAAGGCACTTGAAGACCCATAAGCCAGTGTTTTCCACTGTGTTGGTATCCACTGTGACCTTTAAACAGTGGGTGTTTGGCATTAAAAAGGTTTTATACTTTCTTTCCTTCTGTTTTGGCTGATCTTTATTTGGAATAATCACACTTCACAAGATTATAATACGTATATATCGGTTGAAATATAATTTTTGTTCCCCGAGTGCCAAGTATGACTTCTTTTGTTCTGGATTCACCTGGGTAATACTTTACGTTGGACAGTCTTTTTCTTTCTGGAAACCCAGAAGTTAGTGTATTAAATTATTAGCTGTAAAATAAATTCAAAAGCTGATAAAACCACAGTCTTGTGAGTATAACAAATTAGCAAATCGAACTGTGAATGTGTTGTAAGAAAGAGATGAAGTAAGTGACACATGACATGTACCAGGGAGGCGTTTCTCCACTTCCTTACAGTCACATTAGCAGTTCCAGACATGCTGATGAAGCGTGATTTGAAGTTTTTGGTGAGGTCATGTTGGAGGCAGTCCTGTGCTTGGACACACTGAGTCATGCTACTATGATAACTGTCCCCATTAAGAGAACTAAAGTTCCTCAAGCATGATGGCGTATAAATAATGTGGAAAGGCATATTCTCGCTTTTATAGCCCTCATGTTGGATCATTGATGAATTAGTTATGCCATTTAACCCCAAAAAAGAAGAAGAAAGATTTTATGGCACCAATTTTTTTTTTTTTCCATCATGACTGCATTTACTGCTTCACTTGGGGACTTCCCACATTTATTATTTTGACATTGTGAAAGTTCTGGTTGTGAACTTTCATTGAACTCAGTGGTCAGAAGTCAGGTAGTCTGATAGCAGCCCTCAGAGTTTTAACTGCGCTTGTTTATATTCCCTTATAAAATAGATTCATTCACCATAATTTCACTTTCTTCATCTTATTGTCCACACTGTATCATTTAGGTCTGCCTGACACATCACCTATTCAGGTGTCTTCATTTCCCTCAGTTCACCAGTCAGTTTAATGTTAGTTCATGATAGAATAAACACAGCAGTTATTCACACCTTTTTGTCCATTTTCACAAAAACTGTATAAAAACAGTTGTTGTTGTTGTTTATACACTTTTTAATGGTTAACTGATTTGTGATAATAGTTTCTGATGAATCTTAAACAATGCATTAAAGGAATTATGCTTACTATTGTAGAGTGTAGGCTTATCTTTATTAAGCGCCTTGTTGCTGTCAGATGTTGCAGCATCCAAATAAATAAGAAAAATGACACTAATAGTTAAGATTATGACAAGGATTATAAACTACAGTCAGTTGCCTCTCAGTATTATAGTCAGTACTGTGTGACATTTTTACATGAATAAGGATACAAATCTTATTTTTATTGTATGTATTTTTGTGTCTGTTTTCATGTTAGCGTGGTTTATTTTACTTTATTGGTACAGATTTTTGTATGGTATTATATGAATGAAGCTACAGCACAGGAACTAAGGTGACGTCATTTTTCTCCAGTTCATTTTAACAACACTAAACAAGCAATGCTATGAATAGCCATTCAGTGCATGCAATAGCTCTGTGGAGCTTTTCTCCTTGCCAGTGTATGCTTGCTTTACAAAGAAGTGAACTGTGAACATGTCCTTAATGAGTGCAAAACATGAGGGTTAATGAGGCTGGCTTGCTTCACTGATTAGCTTTATCAGCATCAGTGGCATTATTCATTCTTCGCTGTCCACCAAGTCTGGACATTGGCTCAAGGAAAAACTCTGGAGACGCAAGACAAACAGGAATCTCCATGGTTTGTGTGTACAGATACAGCCTCTGATGGATAGGCCAATCATAAATATGTAAATATACAGCACATGCCCACTTTTTTTTTTCTTTTTTTTTGAGCTGTTTGTTTGTTGCATTTCCATAGTGCTCGATTAGGAGATAGAACCAGCTTTCAAATCTGACCCAAACAAGTACATAGTTACCCACTATCAATAATCCTAATGTGTTGCTGGCAAAAACTTCCAGGTCCTTAGAGTCTTGTATGGTAAAATGAAATTCATGTCCAGCTGGCAGTCCACTGAAATGGCCTCATTGTGTTGCTGCTGACTGAAGGCTGTCTAACTGGGGGCAGAGGTGGCTGGCAGACTGCCTGACTGGGTAACAAGCTCACTCGTGACCCATGTGACAATGAGTGGTCAAGTTGTGTCTGTAAATGAGTGAGCTAACATTCATTCCACCTCTGTCATCCAGACAAAGCACAAGGACGCCAGTGCCAAATGTCAACAGGATATTACCATAATTCTGTTTTGACTACCAGAGAATGTAAGCAAAGAGCCAGCAGTTAGACTGACAAGTCACTGTATCAACTTTTAATCATTAGTTACAGTGTTAGTAATTGCAAATTGTGTGTCAGTGTTGTCATTTGACTTTTATCATAAGCCACATACAAAGTTATGAATAGCAACAAGGAAGTGTGTTGGTAATAAAAAAATTGTAAAAAAGCATCTCTACAGTGGATTCTTTTTACTGTAACAACCTTGTTTTATGTTACACTAGGTCTAAATCCATAAGTTCTGACATATGGAAACCTGAAAATTGATCCATGACTTCGATAAAGCTGCCATCCTGAAACTTCCAAGGACAAATACAGTTAAACTGGTAATTTCCCTTGGTAGGCAATTTGGTAGCAAGGCAATACAATGCTGCAGTTGCATATACTTGTTTGTTTTTGTTCAGTTTATTCCGATCATGTATTCGGAAGGTCATTTTAGGAAAAAAAAAAGAAATTCTATATAAAATCCAGCAAAGTAAGCTCCAATATCGTTTCACTTATTCTTATTCGGTTACATATCAAAACACTGTTTCAATACCAGCTGTCCTTTGATGAAAACGACCCTCTTCCCCTGAGTTTCCACCTTCTTTGAGAGCTTTTGACCATATGCCACATTGCAGCAGCCTGGGTTCAAGTCTGATCCCCACTGCCCTTTGCTATGTGTCTTCCCCTTCTCTCCCCACTTTCCTGTCTATTTTCACTGCTCTCTCTGTCCAGTACAGGCAAAACTGTGAGGATCTCAGGGCTGAATTGGTGGTAGTGGTAATTTGGTCATCCAGATATGAAGTCTCGGTATAGACCCTTGTTTCATTTACTCTCATAAATTAGCCATTTTGACTCCTCTGCCTTCAAACGAGCTTTCTTCTTATTGGTTAGCCCTTACAAACGGAGGGTTAGAACAGTCGATGGGTGGAGACCAAACCTGTAAGTCTACAAAAGTCAAATTCTGGATATTAGGGATAGGATATCATGCAGGTTTAAAAGTAGGGAAGAAAAGACTCTGAAGCATAAACCTTTTGTCCAAAAGGATTACTTGTACATACCCTGACTTCAGTATTTGAAACTGTTTGATATGAGCAACCACCAATACAATGGTACACATGAAAATAAGAAAAAGCCAAATAGGGTCAATTTGAAGTCCTGTGTTATGGCTCTCTTCCACAGCATGCCTTTTATTCTGTCTTCCTTCTCTCTCCCAACCGGTCACAGCAGATGGCCCCGCCCCTCCCTGAGCCTGGTTCGGATGGAGGTTTCTTCCTGTTAAAAGGGAGTTTCTCCTTCCCACTGTCGCCTAACTGCTTGCTCATAGGGGATCATTTGATTGTTAGGTTTTTCTCTGCATGTATTATTGTAGTGTCTACCTTACAATATAAAGCGCCTTGAGGCGACTGTTGTTGTAATTTGGCGCTGTATTAATAAAATCGAATATTTCATTAAAAATGTCAGTCATGTTACATATACTGTTTGGAAAAGCTTCTTCAGTCTATCAGACTTTGGCAGTGATTACTTCTAAGGATGCTCCTTGATTTTTGCTGAGTCATTTGCTAAGTATTTGAAAGAAGTGTTAGTGGTAGCAGGTAATGCGTCAGACGTCGGGTTCTAATCACTAAATGTGTTTTGGTGGTAATTTAAGATGCCTGATTGCCTCTTAAGTCTGACATAACAAAACTGATTGAGCCGTAAAAAACCTTTTCTTTCTTTCCTTTTTCTTTGAGCACCCACACAGTAATAGATATAGACGCACATTTTCTATATCTATGCTTCCGATGCTGATCGCAAGAAGCTTGATCAGGACTGACTGGTTGTTCACATAGTCTCCCGGCTCTTAGTCCCCATCTGTGCTGGTGTTCAGACTGTAGTGTAGTGAAATCTCTCTACCTTCTTTTCAGTG